AGTACTCAGTAGAACACACATCTCCGACAAGGCCAAGACCATCTGGCAATTGTTCTAGCTTGTATGGGTGGGACCGTGATACAGTGGCTTCATCCCCCGATCACTACTGATCAGGCTCCAAAAGCATCAGGATATTTTGGCTTCATTTCTGAAGTCCATGGTGGAAATCGGTTAAGTAGTTTTTCAATTATCCTTCTAACTAATAAACAAATAAACAAACAGACACAAGTGAAAACCTAACTTCCTTGGTTGAGGTAGAAACCAAGAGAATCTATCATTTTCAATAGGGTTTTTGCAGGAATTCAAATATCAACAACACCCCTTCCATGTGTGAGCGTGTTTAAAACTGAAAGTTATCAGGCACCATCCTGTAGTCTGCCAATGACTTTGTATAAGAGCATAAACATCCGAAAAGCCACATTTGCACAAATGTTAAAGCTCTACCTGTAAATTCACTTCTAAGTTCTATGAAAATACCACACAAAGGAGTGATACTATCTTATCTTCATCATAAGTTAACAGACACATAAGAAATCTTGTTGGGGGCTTTAGTATCTGGTTTTGTGTTCAATCTCTGAGTTTCATCGTACGCTTGGATCATTTCTCGGCTTCTTCCGCTCTCTCTTTCATCTGCTCTTCTCACTCGGCAGCCGACTGCAATTCTCAGTGTTAGTAGCTACAGTTGCTAATAAATACAGAAGGTCTTCTGGCTTTATCCAGATGAAAACTCTCAGGAGAAACTCAGAGGAACAAATGGCTTGTCTCAATGATGACATCTCACATGATGAAAAACTGCAGCTTACGGTCTTACACACTGAGAACTCAGACATTTGTGACACATATCAGCTCAGTGTGTACCCTGGCAGTACACTGCACATACTCCAGAGTCAGGCTGCAGAGATGCGTGCTGGGGTCTGCTCCGTGACAGTTTGTGAATCCCGTCCTGTCCTCCTTGTGTTTGGAGGATGTCGAGGGGTTGAACAGAACCACATCCAATCTGTCCAAGGACGACCTGCGGGGAAGGTCCTCGATTAATTTGTCTTCCCGCTGTTCTGCAGTTGGCCCTTTGCCATATTTTAAAGTGAATACAAACGGTCAAAACGTCTCCCTCTCTCTTTAACTCCCTCTCTCTTCCTCTCCTCTATCACTCACTGCTGGTACATGGCAAAGAAGGCAACCGGTGTAAAGGGCGAAGCTTGTTGCCTTTTAATTTGGCAATGAGGATACTGACAATGACAGAGCAACCTGTCATTGCATTAAAGTAAAAAGAAACTGAGAAAACAAGTTGAAAAAATTGTGGTATGAGGACATTTCCAGGGTGGTGCTGCAGCTGAATTCATGTGTAACAGCTGCTTTCGGAGCCTTTTAACAACTATTAATGCATAATGAAACAAAACCTGACATCGTCAAAAATATTGTTAATTACCTGAAAAACACTATAAAATCAGGAACACATAACTTTCCTGTAGTGAATCATCAGTATAGTGTAGAAGTACTTGCCCCTTAATTCAAAGTTGCTGTGTCCATGTTGTTGCTCACATGACTACCACGATATATAGCAAACTTTGTTTTAAAGGTACAGTGTGTAGAATTTAGTGATATTTAGTGTTGAAGTTTCATGTTGCAGCTGAACACCCCTCACCTCACCCTCTCCTTCCAAACATGAAAAAGAACCTGTGGTAGCTTCAGTTGTCATAAAAACTCAAAAGGTGTTTAGTTTGTTCAGTCTGGACTAAAGTAAAAAACATGGCAGCCTCTGTAGAGAGGGTCCCCTCGATGTAAATATAAAGTATTTCAATATAAAGGGTCTTTTCTGGGGTAAAGAAAACTACAATTCATACAATTAAGATGAAACGAACTAGTGAAAACATCATGAGGATTATTCTACATTAAATTTCTGCCAATTGTTCCCTTTCACCTCAATCTTTCACACTGGACCTTTAATTATGTAGTGAAACAAATTTTAAATTAAAATGTCCTCTTTATAAGATAGTCAATGTGGCATTATGGACATTTCCAAACAGTTGCAGGAGATTTGATGGATAAAAAGCTATAAATCATTGAGGGAGCTATATGCCAATACTGATAATAGGTTATAGTAAAGACTAGTATTTATTTTAAAACATAAACACCTAACATCTTTTCTTTTCTTTTTTTATGACAGTGTGACTCACTGGTATAAAAACATGGGCAATCAAGTAAGGCTTACTGGTAATGAGTTTCCTTTTAGACATATAAACTTGAATGATGTGTGTTATCTCTCATTGTGTTGGAATGAAACACATACTGAATTGTCCACACTGGTAGGAAATGAGTCATTGCTCCCAAACATTGCTTCTTTGGTGAGCACATCAGACACTGTGAGACAAAGTCAGACACCAAATAATAACATGAAACATAATCACACCTCTACGTGCGTTTTTTGAAGAACTAAATAAAAAATAAATAAAAAATGAAAAAATAAAGACAGACTGCTGCAGGCTGGAGGTTAAATCTGAGGTCTGTGCTGCCACCTGCTGCTGACACGCTCCCATACTCCTACTTCATGTTGATGGTACATTTACATACATACATACATACATACAAACACTTTAATTAATTAACATGTTTTATTGCAACACACTGATGGCAACCTTCAATTAAATATATTATAAGTAGTATGCTGAGACAGATGTATACCCAAAACATAACATCTTTGTTATCACACTGGTGCTAGTGGAGTAACATTAGATTTAGCTTGTAAGTTATTGTTTCAAACATCTACACTCAAATCAAACAGATCAAAATGAGAAAAGTCTCCATGTCTATTTAAATTCATTAGGATATGTGAGAGGGGAGTCGCGCTCCTACAGGTGTCAGACATTCTGTTAAATTGTAAAAAGCTGGCCAATGAGATGTCATTATGCAGCAGAGAAACCAGGTGTCATTGATCAACACGTCACCAGCTGAATTATTTAAAAATGGCAGTTTGTGGCTCACTGTTTAGCTGATGTCTCAGTTTTCAGGACGTGCTGAACACTGGTGAGTGTTAATTGAAGTTTGATTTTTTTTTTACTTCAAGAGTGAGTTTATGAATTAACTTTTTTAATTATGTAGATACCATTGTAAGCCACTAATAGAGCTATTTAACCTCCTGAGGCCAAATTCTCAAACACAATATGTTTCAGTAACTTGTTTTTGGTGAAAGACCCTTTAAATTTTTATTGTCTGTGTAATCTAGATTGAAGTACATCCCTGAACTCGGATTAAAGATGTCTGGCCGTGGTAAGAAAGCTGTCCCCAAACAAAAGACTTCAGTGTCCCGGTCTTCCAGAGCAGGGATTACTTTCCCAGTGGGCCGCATCCACAGGCTGCTCAAGAAGGGCAGCTATGCTGAGCGTGTGGGCAATGGCTCTGCAGTGTACCTCGCTGCCGTCCTGGAGTACCTCTGCGCTGAAATCCTTGAGCTGGCAGGAAATGCCAGCCGTGACAACAAGAAGCACCGCATCGCTCCTCGCCACATCTTGCTGGCGGTGAGAAATGATGAGGAGCTCAACATAGTGCTTGCAGGGGTCACGATCTCAGAGGGTGGCGTCATCCCGAACATCCAGGCAAGCCTTCTCCCAAAGAAAACCAAGATGTCCAAGGATGACAGCACTGCGAAAGACGTTCAGTCTCAAGAGTTTTAACTGCGAATGTACAAAGTTTTACAAATGTATCATTAAACTATTATGTTTTTATGCTCGTTTTGGTTTTTTGCTTTTTTCCACTGAAATGCTCCACAACATTTCTTATAGAGATGTGTCTTGGGGCAGATACTGAAAATTTTTGAATTCTTATCCATTACAAAATGACACCAGTAACTTGTGATTTGGGCCCAATTCCAAACTGCAGCATGACAATGACCCAAAACATGCATCTGAACTCGGTGGATAATTTTCAAACAAGAACAGTCCTGCAACAAATTGTGACTTGAATCGCATGAAGAGACAAGCTGCAGAGTCGGACTAAATGCATGGACCTTTGTCATGTTCTTCCAGGATGCTGGAGGAACCACCTGTCTGGGCTTTTCTACCTTGTGGGATAAAATTCTCTACCACTTCAACAGTTTTACTCAGCTCTTATTCATTGTCTTTTCAATATCTAACCATCTCTTTTAAAGCCTCCATATGCCTGTCTGTACATTATGACAGTGCCTTTTATAGTTACAGTACTTCTGCCATGGAAGTTATATTTTTACCCCTGGTATGTTAAGCAAACTACACAAAAACCACTGACCACATTTCCATGAAATTTGGAAGGATGTGATCTGTGTTTGGGAAGAGACATTACATTTTGGTTGGCATAAAGGTTTTACTTAACATTTAGATGAGGGTTTGTTTCATCATTTTCCAAGGGAGAAATTCATGGATCTTGATGAAAAATCCAGCTCATTTAAGGGACTGATATATACTTGTGTGAAATTAGCTGCAGCTTTATCAATGCAGTTGTCAAAGGTACACTTTCCACTTTGTGCCATTCAACTTTATTTTTGGCTGTTTTCTTCAGTGTGTGCTGTAAAGGACTTTGGGACAACAGTGATTTTTGTAGGTGCCACACAAATAAATATCAGTTGAGCAGATTTTGTTTCTCAACACATTTATCACACAACTATTGTTCCTTAATTTACCTATATGACCAATATCTGCCAGGGAGAAAGGAATAAAACAATCTAATATACATACTAAAACACAAGCACATTTCATACATGAAAACATGGGAATCAGTGGCTATAATGAATTATGGAAAATAAAAGGCACATGTTAAAAGCAATGACATTATATGAAAATTCACTGTAAAAGATCTGAAACATTAAGAGAGAGTAACGCTGCTTAGTTTAGGTTGAGGCTTGTGTTTCAGCAATATAACTAAAGAAGTTACACATTTTGGATTTACATCAGAAGTAATCATCGCAGCATGATCTATCTGAAATATCCCTGCATACCTCTAACTATCGCCCTCTTTGTGTTTTTCTGCAACCCTCTGTAACAGTGCGTCCGTTGAACGCAGCCCCGTGGGTAACTGCGTGCTGACGTAGGACGTGAGAACAACAAACAGTTGTTGAACAAGCTAACGAGTGGCAGCGCCGGAGAGAGGCAGGTTCAGCGGACCCGCTCCGGACAGAAGACACCTGAGACACCTGACCGCCGGGAGTATCTCGAGGATTTAGCGCCGAGGAGTGAGCGCTGTTCGTGCCGGGAACTCCGGCTCGGCTCCCCCCGCCAGCGCCGACGTTAGCCACCGAAACATGCCCGCTGCTGGGAGTGTGACGCCTGTTTTTCTTCTGGCTGTCGTTGGTCGACGGTTGTGATGCGAACCGAGCCGCAGCGCGACAGAGGCAGAGACGAGGGCTCCAGCCGGAAAACACATTTGTCCACACGGGAGAATGGACTTTGTCGCGGGTAAACTGACGGGCTCAGTCGGGGACGCAGGCACGCTACCGCACACGGGCCTGGATGTCATTGTTGGGCAACAACTTTAGCAAGCTAGCTAACGTTAGCTCGCTCAAATTCATGCAAACGAGTCGGGTTTGGTGGAGGGCAGGGAGCTCACTTTGCTAGCGTAATGGAGGCACCCTGAGCGACTTGTTCATTTCATTTGTCCACTTTAACACTGTCGACAATGTGCTGACGAGCCTTTAGTCGGTTCTCTTCGAGGGATAGGACTCTGTTGGCAGACATTATTAAGTGGTGGTTGCCTTGCTGGGCGATAGTTGAGGAAAGTTGGGCTAATATATAATTACAGACACGGTGTCTGTTTCGCACAGGTATCTCATATGGTTTTTTTTGTATTGACATTTGTGTAAAACTGCACTTTAATTAGCCAATTTGTGTCGAGGATGCACAGAAGTCACATGTGAATTGGGGTTTGTGAAAACTGTAATGTAAATTAACTCTAATACACAAAAACAGTCGGTTGAATAGGTTGAATAATCAGATTGCACTTGAATATAACTCGGTGAATTAAGGACATGTAAAGGTGCCCATATACATATATTGTTAGACAGAGACAGGCTTATCCGTGTCAGTCGGCTCCTGGTTAGTGTTTAATATAATATACAAGCTGTCTGGCACAGTTAAAGATTGAGTTTCACTGGACATGACACCATGAATATCGAAGAGCAGCGTCTAGATTTATGCAATGCAAAGACAAGAAGCAACGTGGATGATGATCACAACACTACCAACAACACAGAAGGAGTCACCCCTCGGATCTCTGAACTGATGACTGATAGTAACACTGAAAAGCAAAGCATTGTTCCCACAGAGGCCTCTGAGACATACGTGATGCCTGAGCTCACTGACAACCTGCAGGCAGCTGAGGAGAACAACCACCAGGTACAAGACACACTGGAAATCGATGAGCTCAATGGAAATGGGACGAGCACCGCTCAGAACACCCCTGTGATAGCTAACCCCACTGACTTCATTTTCTCTAATGAGGAGCACAAGGGTGATATTGGGGTGGAGGCAATGAAGGAGGATAAAGACACTGATGTTGTTGTTGGTGGAAGGCATGATGGAGGGGACACGGACATAGGTGTGGCTCTGAGTCTGGACAAGAGTGCAGAGTTGGAGGCTGATTCGACAAACGCCACCTCATTGTTAGACAATACTTTAGAGTCAGAGTCTCCGTCTCAGGATGTCCCGGCTGGCAGCACAGTAGAAAGCTTGTCAAATGAAAGCCAGCCGAGCAGCACAGAGTCCCCTGCCTCGGACCAAGTTGGACTGTACCCGTCTGTGGAGGAGAGGGACGATAAACACAAACCAAGTGGCAAAAAGGTGACGTTTCCCTCAGATGAGGACATTATCTCTGGAGCAGTGGAGCCTAAGGACCCCTGGAGACATGGTAATACTGTGTGTGTGTTTCTTTGTTTGTAAATGGCGTCCTGTTTATCCTACTTGTCTGAAGTACCAGTGAGAACGAGTGGTGCTAACATGTTTTGCCAGAATTTACTCTCACAGCACTTTAAACAGCATTTTTCTCAAGCTTCGTGTTGACAATAGTTGTGCACTCTGTAGCTCAAGTTTAAAATGTGCTATGTCATGGTCCATTTTCCGTGGGAATGGTGTATGGATGTTGACACCGATGCATCACAGTTTGGTCCAAGTGCTATGTATGTTGTTTTGTGTCTGTCATCCCCTTCAAGATGACACTACAGACTTCTGGTCTTACTGATAATACTCAATAGATATCACAATGGCTTGTTCTTTGTTGGCTTTTAATTCCCAACAGTCAAATCCACCTACATATCTAAATATAGTCCCAGGCCCAGTGTTGTGTGCAGCATTGTGAGAAGGTCCCAACACTCCTTCATGAGGTGTGCCATTTTACCACAGAAGGTTCCTGTTTGTTCAGTGAAAACACGTCTAACGGGAGCTCATGCAGGATGTGGCACTGCCTTCATTGTGTTGATACAAGGAGCCAAGTCTTTAGAGGCTCAACAAAATGAGAGGTCACTTTTACTGTTAAAGCTTATTTCCCATGTAATAATGTGCAATTAATTTACAATAAATGCAGAATATTTAGGATGGATTAAAACTGATCCCCAACAGGTACATTTAGCAGCGCAACAGAGCAGAAGATTTAATAGGAAAAGGATTTAGATAAGAAGATAAATTATATACAATCCTATACAAATATATTAGTACATATATAAGTAAGTATGAAGCAATCTAAAAGAAATTCAGACACATTGTGGCTTAGCATCGACAAGTGTGTGCAATTTGATTCATACCTCCACCAAGGCCACTGTTGAGCCTTGGTGGAGGTATGCATTCTCTTGACTGCCACTCTACTTGCAGTATTGTACATAAGCATACATCCAAACATTTTGAATATGTCTCATTTACAATAATAATGATTATTTGCTGATAATATTTTTGTTTGTTTTGTAGTCTAGTACTTTTCATTTAGAGTTCTGCTGCTTCATTATACAGTAGATTCATGAGCTCGGAATTTGTGTGTGATCTGACCGTGACTCACCCGCTCCTTCATCTGGCATGGACAATGGACATCATTGAATAAACAGACCTACGCTCACAGTGTGAAAGCTGGTGTTTGCTCACAGAACGGTGGCGGCAGTCGACATAGTTACACGGCTAATGTCGGTCTGAGAAAATGAAAGAATCACATCAATTTGAGGCCTTTTAGTCTTAGTGTCTGTGTGACCTGTGGTTTTTAGGTGTGAGCCAGTGAGATTCCAGTGTCTTTCTATGGGGTATAAAACCAAAACTGTTGGCCAGACCAAGGCAAGGGTCAGCAATGCGAAATGTCCAGGTGGAGGAGGAAGAGTAGAAAAGGAGAAATATAGCAGTGAGATAAGATTGATGCATGACCAATATCAGTTCAGCTGGATGTAAATTATTCTATTAACCCAGTAAGTGACCTGGTTTCAGCCATTCATCCTGACACATGCAGCTGCTCAACATAAATTGTATATATATATATACAGAGAGAGAGCATCTGTTCCCATCACTGCTTGTCTCTTAACCCTGTTTTTTCCCCCAACCTGTCACTCTGTCAGCGCCTTTACGTTGCACATGCCAGGCAGCCATTCTGAAATATCTTAAGCCACACTCGATGGGGGGCAAAGTCTGAACCTTTCCGCCTAGTGCTCTTAGCCCATATTAAACACTGGGAACAGTTAAGTATCTTGGTGACTGCAGTGTTGGCTCAGATTATTCAGCACATTTATCACATAGTTTATTTAAGTTCCAAAGGTCCAGCTGGTTGTGCAGTTGATGTAGAAGCACACAGACAGTTTACGGCGGTGAAATTAATCACATGATAGTCCACTTGATCCGAAAAATACAATAATTGAAACCACAAATTCTCAAGATTTTACTGAATTGGTTGCAGTAGGATCAGACTGAAATCAAGTAATTTAATACCCAACATTGTTCTTATTTATCATTATTTATTTAATTTTGTTTTCCTGCTTCATGACATTTGAATTACTGGCCACAATTTTTGTTGCCCTTAGTGTTGCATCAGAGTAATTATGAATTTTCAGTATATTATGTTTTACTACTAATGAAGCCTAATAATCAATATTGCTCGAGGTGTGATAAGTAATTGCACCTTTCAGGATTTTTTTCTAGTACTGTGTTTTCAAAATGTGTTTCTCTGCTTGTCTTTCAGTGGTGAACTTGTTTGACCTTCACTTGGATATCTTTTCCTTAGTCTGCTTTCTGCCATGCGTCTTAAGGACATGCTTACACATGGGACAGGCTGAATGAGTGTGTTTCTGAGTTTAAGTCCAGGAAATGAAATGTATCTGAATCTCAACCCCAAGGGCTCCTCATTCTTCTTTAAGAGTGAGCGCTGCTCCACAATAGATCCACCATCATTCCAGACCCTTTATCTGCAGATCTCGTGTCAAGTTCTCTGGGTCCCTGTTCAATGTCCTGTGTCAAACACACAACAGTGAAGTGGCCGTGAGCTCACAGAGCCTGGAACTTCATCCATATGCGTTACTGCGGTAGGAGCAGAGGGAAGAAAATGTTGAGAAGGAAATTGAACGTTCATATTGGCACTTACTTCTGCTTGAAATGCAATGAAATGAGTTTGTGAACAGAAGTAAACTTCCATGGAGTCATGAAAGCTGCCAAATTTTACAGCTAAGGTTCAGGAGGGATCATAGGCAGGAGAACAATGTGATAGCCAATGTTGTTTCATATTCCTATGTCATTGTCCATTTTATTGGTATCAACACAGTATGTAAGTGTAAGCAGTGTATGACGCTGATATTACCTGTGTAATATTTAATTTAGCTGAGATACTCTTGAACATCATTTGAGAAAAGGTAAAATATTGAATCTGATTTTGTTCTGAGTTAGACAAAATTGTTATTTTAGAGCGGTTTTATTTCTTTACCTCTTCCCCGTCTAGACTACTGGGATGCTTGTTCTTTCCCCTCCAGGCCTGGGCAAATACTACATCATATCCTGAGATTCCTGAACTTCCCAACATGCTGCGTAGCTTCCCCTCTTCCCCAGTTTCTTCTCCTTTGCTACACTCTAGTTGCAGTTCAAAGCTTATCTTTTACAAAAACACTGGATCATTCTGCAAACTTGTGCTAAGTAATTTTTTCATGTTCAGGAAGAGAAGACTATTACACTACCAATACACTACTCATTTACTACTACTACTGCTCCCTCTAATGCACTACAACTTTGTGTACAAATAAGGTAAAGCCTACTTCTTGGAGTGCAGATAATTCCTTAACATTAACATGTTTATCCTGCAAGCAACTATACTCATTGGCCTCATGGCATCTCTGTCTCGTGTCATCAGACCCAAGGCCCACTTGGCACCGGGATATTAGAGTCTCTGAGACCCATGAAATGTTATGTGTTGTGGCTGTCGACCAAGTTACCAACTGATAAGCAAAGCTTTTAGAGTGGAGGTTGCGCAAAGGCTTTGAATACCCAGGGGTCAGTACGGTTTGTGCTAGAGGCAGACTGGTACTAGATTGAAGGTGCCAATAGTGGAGTGGAAATAAAAAAAGTCTCAGAGGTTATCTGACCAAAACATAGCTTAATTAATATATGGACCAAGAGTGGTGACACTGTTTTATACCATTTGACATATGTATCTTTTATTTTGAAGTGTATAAAGAGCCTCTTTTTTTATTTTTATTATTATGAACAACATTCAAATATTAAATAAAGCATAGTTGACGTTATTAGTCAATGATAATGTCAGTGGTCATAAAAGTGTGTGTAATGAAAACATTCATTCTTTTTCCGTTGCAGTGGGATACTTTAAACGATTTTAGAGTTGCTGGCTTTGTTATGGATTCGAGCAAGGAAAATGTAACAAATGAAAATGATTTAAATGATCATCAAAATAATTTATGTTAAATCTTCATTTGATTGATCGATCAATCGACTAATAATAGTTTTCATCAGACTGAATAAAACTTGATTGGGACCTCTCTTTACTGTCAACAGACTTTGTGATTGTTTCTGTCTGCGCTGTAGCTACAAGCCACAATTTACAAGCTTTTGTCTGTGATGATTTCTCATCCTGTCCCGACGTGTGTGTATGTAGGACTTTCTGTCCTCATAGAACAGGACTTCCTCGCTCCACCCTCCTCCCATACCTGCTCTAATCACTCTTGAGGAAGTGACAAATGTTGCCTACACACTCTACACATTGCACAAAATGCCTCCTCTTATAAAAATAGAGCACACAACTGTTGTTTGCTCATACTGTCACTCTCCATCTGGTCTGACAGATTTTTCTCTCAGGCGCATGTTTGGATTCATGAGGGGGCTCATCATTTAAAATGGCTGCTCTTTTTAATCGCTAAGTGTTATCAGAGTTAGAAGAGAGGCTGTTGTTGATGTACAGTTTTTTCTTAATATGCCAAGATAAACATGTTGTGATATAGTATGTGTAAGTTATATTTGCTGTGTCTGCAGTAATGTGCTTCAAACCTAAAACACTGGTTGGGTAATTTGAGTACAGGTATTGTGTGGGATGTGTGTGTTTTGCCTGGGTGCCTCATGTTCATTATTGATCAAGAAAATGACCAGACATAAGTACACGACTGAAAGCAGTTTCAGTTTACTTCAGATTCTCTGCCCTCTTGCAGACCTGTGTTGGTACAGTGTGATACAGTATTTGCAGGTTATGTAAATGGGTTTAAGTGGTAATTTAAACCTTACGGTTCTTGTGTTTTAGAGCAGGCAGCAGCTCTCTTCTAATTTTGGGCTTTTGTCTCCTATGTGTGTGTACTTATTGTCAGCGTCTTGTTAACTGGACCGTTAGAAGCACACCACAGCAGTGACACAGACCCTGCCATTCGCTCTGTGCCACTTGTGACGAGCCAGGCAGCC